GTGGCTAAAAGCAGAGCCCCTGGAACCAGACTGCCAAGACACTTACTGCTCTTCTGCCTCCTCTCCGTTTCCTCGACTGTAAAACTGAGAACAATAAAACTATCTACCTTAAGCTGAGGCTTACATGAGTTAGTGCATGTGAAACACTTAGGGCGTTGCCGGGCAAGCAGTAAGCACTGTATAGGCATTATCGACAAGAGCTCAAATTCATTTCTGCTTCTGCCCTCTCCCATCAATCACCACCTGCTATCCTTTCTCCTGCTCCTGCTTTGTGCTCACTGATGGCTTTGGCCTACTCATGGCTTCCACTCCCTCGTGGCATCTGCATATTGTTTCCTTCTGTGTGACTTTGGCTTCTACTACAGTTTTCCAATTGCTCAGCTACCTCTTGAAACTTGCCAGAGTTCCCACGATAGAGATTCTGATTGGCCCAGAAAAATCCCTGCAATCCCTCTGAGACAACTTCTTGCAGTCCCATGAGTCACGAGCACCCCTCCCCGGTGCTGCTCCCCTCTGTGGGGGTTCAGGGAAGGAACTCCTCAGAGCGACCTGAGGGTAACGCTAGCATTGTGGGCAATGGTCCGTGCACTGTACATGTGTTCACTCAGGCTTAAAGCTTGGTGCTATCTCGCGACGCCTGGGTGGCTCAGTCTGTCAAGCGTCTGCCTTCAGCTCAGGTCCTGATCCCAGGGTCCTGGGATTGAGCCCCACATCGGGGTCCCCGCTCAGCGGGGAGTCTGCTTCTCCCTCTGCTTGCTGCTCCCCCTGCTTGTGCTCTCTCTCTCTCTCCCTCTGACAAATAAATAGATAGAGATTAAGAATTTGGTGCTATCTCTGTATTGGTGCCTTATCCCCTACAGAGGATTCGTAGTCTTTTTTTTTTTTTTTTAGGTTGGGGGAGGGGCAGAGGGAGAAGGAGCGAGAATCTTAAGCAGGTTCCATGCCCAGCCCGGAGCCTTACGCAGGGCTCGCTCTCACAACCCTGAGATCATGACCTGAGCTAAAATCAAGAGTTTGATGCTCAACTGACTGAGTCACCCAGGCACCCACCAATTCGTATTCTTATCTTTAAAAAAAATGGCGGGGGGCGGGGCACCTGGGTGGCTCAGTCGGTTAAGCGTCTGCCTTCGGCTCAGGTCATGATCCCAGGGTTCTGGGATGGAGCCCCGTGTGGGGCTCCCTGCTCAGTGGGGAGCCTGCTTCTCCCTCTCCCACTCCCCTGATCATGCTTTCTCTTGTTCTCCCTCTCTCAAATAAATAAAATCTTTAAAAGAAATTTTCTAACTTAAATAGTAAAGAAGTATATCCAAATTACTGCTGACTATAGTTATTTCTGTATTTTCCATGTTTTTAAAACAACTATCTTATTTGGTGATAGGCACTCAAAGAGTAATTATGAAAAAGCCAGACAATTCTGTATACCTCTAAAAATCTCATTGAAAACACCATGTTGGCACAGGATCTATCATAGGTGCAGCTGCAGTTAACAGGATGTACATATGCTTCTTTTTTCTTGCACACCATGTTGACAAAATAAGATTCATGATTTATTAAAATACATATACTAAATGTAAAATTACCCAGATATGCTATATAAAACATAAAATAGAAATGAAAGTTCATAAATTGGTTCCAATTCTAAACACCCAGGGATAATTAAACAGCATATTTAGCGCTCCACTGTGTTTATTTCTTTCCTGTACCTTCCTGCCCAAAATCTTATAATGAAAAAATCTCAAAAATAGACAAGTTTAAAGGAATTGTCCAGAGATCATCCATACACACACAGTTTATTTATGCATTCTTCTCTTGATGGACACTTGGGACTTCTCCGTTTTCGGCTACTATGAGTAAAACTGCTGTAAATATTGTAGTACAACTCTCTTTGTAGATATATGATTTTATTTTGCTCTCTTAATGGTGCTCTTGATGAATGGAAGTTTTTAATTTTGATGAAGTCTGATTTGTGAACTTTTTTTAATGGTTAACTCATTTGTGTCCTAGTTATGAATTTTTTACCTATCCTAATTCCATGAATATATATCTTACATGTTTTTCTGTAAGTATAATAGTTTAATCTTTCACATTTAAATCTATGATTTAATCTCAAATTAATATTTGTGCATGTTATAAGATGAAGCATATTACTAAGGTCTTTTTATTCCGTATCAATATTAAATTGTTCCAATAGCATTCATTGAAAAAAGTCATCCTTTTCCCAATGAATTGCATTGGTGACTTTGTTGTACATCAAGTAACCATATAAGCATGGGTCTATTTCTGGATTCACTGATCTGTTTGTCCTTCTGCCAATAGCAAAGTGTCTTAATTATTCTTTTAGACTGTTTTAGATTAATTCTTGACATCTGGTAGGTTTGTCCTTCAAATCCATTCTTCTTCAAGATTGACTATCACAGATCTTTTATTTTTTTTCCACATAATTTTTAAAATCAGCTCATGAGTTTCAATTTTGAAAAATCTGCTAAGATTTTTACGGAATTACATTAAATTTATAGATCATTTTGGGAAAACTAAACATCTTAACAATATCAAGTCTTCCAATTCCTGAAATGATATATATCCCTCTATTTAATTAAGTCTTCAACTTCTCTTGGCAATGTTTGTAGTTCTCATTGTAGAAGTCTTACATATCTTTGAATTCATTCTGGAGTATCTGATGCCATTCTATGCTCTTATAAATGCAGTTTTAACATTTTTATTTTCCAGTTGACTGTTGCTAATATGTAAAATTGTATTTCCTGTTGAATCTAGTATCTAGATACCATTGCTAAATTCAACTTATTACTCTAGAAACTTAACTGTAGACTCAACTGGATTTTCTAACTATAAAATCAAATCACTTGTGAATAAAATGAATTTTATTTCTTCTTTTCCAATTGTATGCCTTTTATTTCCTTTTATTGTATTATTGCACTGGCTAGGTCCCTCAGTACAATGTGAATAGAAGTGGTAAGAATAGATATCATTGTCTTGCTCCCAACTTAGTGGAGAAGCATTCAATAGTTCACCATTAAAGTGACATTAACTGTTGTTATTATTGGTGTTATGTGTGTGTTCCTTACCAAATTGGTGAAGCTCCCTTCCTAGTCTTCCCTGAATGACCTAAGCTTCTCTCAATTTCTTTGATTCTTGTATTTGTATCCCTTCTCTCGTGCAAAAAATACTGGTCCCTAATCATGTGAAGATGATTTTTTGTTTGTTTGTTTTATGCTATGATGTAGACAAAATGGTTTCAAAATTATGGTCTCAATACCAAAGTTGCTACTAAGTAAAGTGCAGGATTTGCCTTTTTTTAAATTTTTAACTCTTATGACATATTGCCCTAAGACTATACAGGCAGAGTCCTATCTTGTAAAGACAATTGAAATATTTCTTTCCTCTTTATGATTGTATCACCAATTTGATACACAGTTAGATTGAACTGTGTCACTTTACTTTCCATTTTGGAGGGTTTGTTTTTTTTTTTTCAGGTTAACTCTCATAACATCTGGAAAGAAAGGCAGCTGTGCCTCTTCCTTTTCCATTTTTAATCTTCGAATTGTTTTCCACCGAGTGCATATGTAAGTTAAAAGTCTCATAGAGTTCATTTGTTGTGAACAGCAAGAGCGTGTACAGTTTTTCCCCAGTGATATCCTGCTTTGGAGGGGACTATGTACATATCTTTTCCAAGTTCTCTCTCCTCCATATTCCTCTAAGTACAATCCTAAATCTTACCTTCAATACCTCTTTCTCTGCCTTAATCTTCTTTCCACTCTATCTATCCTTCGTGGCTGATACATTGTTCGAATCACTTCTGTGCATATTCTGTGAAATGCAAACACCTTTGCTTGGCATGTGAGACCTTCTGCATAAGGTGTAGTTGTTATAAGTATTAATAAGGCATAAATGGATTGGAATTGGGTTTTGGAGACAGTATAGGTGTGATGCAAAAGCAGAGATAAGAGAGGGGCGCCTGGGTGGCTCAGTCAGTTAAGTGTGTGCCTTTAGCTCAGGTTATGATCCTGGAGTCCCGGGATGGAGCCCCACATAGGGCTCCCTGCTCAGCGGGGAGCCTGCTTGTCTCTCTCCCTCACTCTCTGCCCATCCCCCTGCTTGTGTTCTCTCTCTCACTTGCTTGCTCTCTCTCAAGTAAATAAATAAAATCTTAAAAAAAAAAAAAAGCAGATACAAGGGAAATCAGAGTTGTACATAGTTCTGTATAGCAGAGGACATCAGATCCTCAGTGGAGTGAGTTGGAGAATAATGATCCAGGGTTAGGACTGTGATGGTCAGAGAACAGAGGCAAAGCTGGGAACTGCAACCCTTGTTTGAAAGAGAAGGACCTCTTTGAAAACCTGAAGTCCTTTCCCACTGATATTAAAAAAGCACAATTATCTGGCTCCAATTTACCTTTCCCATCTTACTCTTGACAAAGTTCATCAGACTTAACTTTCTGTACCATTTCTGTACTTGGGATTTCAAATTAGGTTTGTTTTGTATCTGACACTTTTTTAAGTTGGTTCTCTGCATCCATGAGCCAAATATCTGCTCGACACAGACATCAAGATCCCTACAAGACTCATACACAAAACAAGAGATTTGACCATGTTCTCTACTCCAACTCTTCCCTCTGCTCAATGTGCATTTCTTGATCCCTATTCCTAGAAGTAATCCCTGGCTCCTTCAAATTTACACATGACTTTACCTATGCTTCTCTTATATACCTCAATTCCTACTTTCTGTTATAGTTATTAAAGACTTATCCTCTGAATAAACATCCCAGACTGATCCATCTTTGGATTCCAGTAACTTCTAGAATGATGTCCTGATCCATGGTAATAAATAATCATGAATGATTATGGTCTGACATTACAGAAAACACTGGGCTTTTCTTTTGATGTCCTTTTATTAATAGAACCTAAGCGTGCCCTTGCTTTTTCTTATTGGTAAACTATTAAGTAACACAAACTTAAAATCAGCAAAACGCTTTGCTTTGGGCCACCTGGCTGGCTCAGTTGGTGAAGCATGTGACTTTTGATCTCGAGGTTGTGGGTTCAAGCCCCATGTTGGGTGTGGAGATTACTTAAAAATAAAATCTAAAAAAAAAAAACCAACAACAAACTTTCCCTTTTTTTAAGAAGGTTCTTTTCTATGCTAGGTCTCCTTCGACTTCTATTTGTGAGGCTGATCTTTAAAATTTAAATAGACTTATTAATCCAGGATAAATTTTCTCTTTTCAGCATCTATCATGTAGTCTGTGGAGATCTTGATTCTACTATTCAACCTGTAATCCATTCCTCCAGTTTGTAGTCACCATCTATTTGGTAAGCATCTCTTCTAGGTCTTCATGAAGGTAGATAACAAAAATATGACTATTTCATGAATCCTCATAAAACTACCAAAAAAATAAAACAATAAAAAAAAAAAAAAACAAGCCCCAGGGGCATCTGGGTGGCTCAGTCGGTTAAGCCTCTGCCTTCGGCTCAGGTCATGATCGCAGGGTCCTGGGATCGAGCCCCACGTCGGGCTCTCTGCTCAGCAGGGAGTCTGCTTCTCCCTCTCCCGCTCCCCATGCTTGTGTCCCCTCTCCCACTGTGTCTCTCTCTGTCAAATAAATAAATAAAATCTTTAAAAAAAAAAAAAGCCCCTCCAAGCCAACATGGGGTGATTAATAAGAGATGTTTGACCACTGTCATTAAATTAGCGAAGAATCTAACCTACCATCATCCATTGTATTATTTTCCACATCACATTTCCTGGACTCACCCAGAAGAATATCATGTTTGTCTTTGTCACATGTCTCATTAAACTAAGAAATAACTATCAATAGTTCCCTCTCTTCTACCAATCTCCTGTAAGGAAGAAAATGAGTTGCTCCTGATGAACCCAAGCTGACGCCTACTGCCATATAAAAGGATTCTGATTTGTTTAACAAAGCTGAGTATTCACATTCACCTGGCTCTCCCCAGGTCCAAGGGAAGATATTACTCCTACAGGAACAATACAACTCGGTGACTCATTCCTGGGAGGGAGGTTACTCCTCTTGACAGCTAATCACAACCAGGCAGCATGATAATGAAGTAAGCCAAACTGACATAACTTATTTTCCTAGACTGCCCAATGCTGAGAAATTCACAGAGAAGGGTAGAATCTCACTCCTATTGTTTCCCAGCACCCATGCATAGTTCCCAGAACTTCATAACACAAGAGCAGCCTTTAGGGGCGCCTGGGTGGCTCAGTCAGTTGGGCATCTGCCTTTGGCTCGGGTCATGATCTCAGGGTCCTGGGATTGAGTCCTGTGTCAGGCTTCCTGCTCAGCGGGGAGCCTGCTTCTCCCTCTCCCTCTGTCTACCGCTCTGCCTACTTGTGCTCTCTCTCTCTCTGTCTGTCAAATAAATGAACAAATAAAATCTTTAAAAAACAAAACAAAACAAAACAAGACCAGCCTTTGAATAAGGTTACCTTCTCTGTTCACTATCTAAATCACCAGTTCTTACTGAAAAAAAGTTCACTATCAATTGTGTAATAGTCATTCCTAAGGGTGTTCCTAAAATACAGGTCTTTATGGCATAGCTTTTGATAATACTTTTCTCTGCCAGGAATTATTTTGGTAGATGGTAGCCAATAAATACTTGATTTTGTTTCTTGCCTTACCTAAATCTATTAGTTTTTGGGGTCACGGGGTGTTAAATTTCAATTTGGAAATAGATTTTATCTATTCTGACTAAAAAGGTAATTTTTGAAAACACAATTATAATAGATCTGAGTATTCCCTAGCTCTCAGCTCTCCTTCCAGGCAGAGTTCATAATTCTATTAATTAATTTGTGCATATTGGAGGAATCTTTTTATTCAGGCACTGTTGTACATTCCAATAAATTCCTAGAAACTCTAGGTCAAATTGGATTCTGTCCTTATCATCTGTACTTTCTATAAGGAAATATAATACAAAACAATCCTATTTAATAACAGGTTTTGGGTGGGGCATGAAAAAGGAACAAAAATAAAGTTTGTAAGTAAAACTGGGTTTCTGTTAGGATGATTTCCAATATAAAATGGCATTTAACTAGCAGATCCTGGCATAAACTTTTTCAACTTCCAAATGAAATACTTAAGAAGAAGATGAATACCAAGATCAAAATAAAGAAACTGATCATTAACCTATGGGCAGAAGCAAGGGGAAAACTCCACTAAGTTTAAAGTCCAATGGAAATGGGAAAAATTCAATCAATTGCTCCCTTCTCCTATGCCCCTGGGGAAAATAGCGGCACTCATGGGCCAGAAGTCAGGCAGTAAAACCCTTCCTCTCGTCCTGAATGATGAAATAAAAGACTGCAGCAAGGAGAAACCTTAGACAGCCGGCCTTCCACCACATGGTTTAAGGAAGCCAGAATCTTCTCTCCTAGTCCTCCCTTCCTTCTCTTTCTAAAAACATTCAAATTCCGGGCAGCCCTCTTGGGTCCCCCTGCCCCTCTTTTGGAGCTTTGTACTCTCAGTAAACCTTGCTTTTGCTGCTCCAACCCCCCCAAAATAAAAAATAAATAAAACATTCAAATTCCATGATAAAAACTAGGCAGGAACTGGGGATAATACTGGAGGTGTCGTAGTCTCCTGTATAAACACTAAGACAGGAAGAGCTGTGAAAATAGAGGTTCTGGCAATTGTAATTTTTTACAGAGCCCACCAGAGGGTGATGGAGACAGTGGGGGCAGGAAAAGATACCTTCTCAGGCCAGGGGAGTCTCACTAGATGAAAACTTCATGGGCGCCTGGGTGGCTCAGTTGGTTAAGCAACTGCCTTCGGCTCAGGTCATGATCCTGGAGTCCCTGGATCGAGTCCCGCATCAGGCTCCCTGCTCGGCAGGGAGTCTGCTTCTCCCTCTGACCCTCCCCCCTCTCATGTGCTCTCTCTCTCATTCTCTCTCTCAAATAAATAAATAAAATCTTTAAAAAAAAAAAAAAAAAGAAAACTTCAAAGAGGCTGGGAATGGGCTAGGAGCTGCCCAGCAGATCAGTTACAGACCCGAGAAGGGAACACGCAAGCTGAAAGCCAAGGGCAGCAGTGTGCTGGTAAGTAGACTCTGACTACCCCACCACTACCACCACCATCCCTCCCCCACCCTGTAAGTATGTGCCAATTTCCATGGTGGGAACACTCCCACCATGGTGGATCTCAGCCGTCAACATCACTGAACCACAAGCACACAACTCCGAGTTGGAATAAGGGGGATCCATCACATGCCTTGGCAAGCATTAGATGTGGATGGATTTCTCTTTATTCTAGAAGGAGGAAAGAGGAGCCTGTGAGAAAAATGTTTCAGGGCAGAGGAAGGAGAAGAACGGTAATAATAGCCAGCCTCAATTGAGCACTGATTATTCTCAGTACTTTATACTTTACAAGAAACGTCTCATTTAATCTTCACGGCAACTCTATGCAGTAGGAGGTATTATCTTAATTCTAAGACAACAATCTCAAGTTTCGTTAGGTAAAGTAATATTTGGCCTGTTCATGCAGCTATTAAGTGGCAGATTTGGTCTTTGGACTGCTGAACTGCAAAGCCCATACACTTGAACTCTAAGCTAAGCACAAAGTAAACCTGCAATAAATGTCCTGATTTCTTGACTCATTATGATAAACTATTCATCTTCCTTATAAATTATTGGCATTTTCACTTCTTTCTCTTCTGAGTTAATGAGAGATTTACATCCAAGATCCTTCAATTGCTCTTTCCTAATTTAGAATGACAAGAAGCCTCTCAGGGGAGGATTTTGTGGTGGATGGGGTGGGGTATGGGGGTGTAGGTGTGGTGGGAAATACTCAGAGAACAGGTGAACAGGGTGCTAGAATGCAACAAATAGAAAGTAGAGGCTGGGGCGCCTGGGTGGCTCAGTTGGTTAAGCGACTGCCTTCGGCTCAGGTCATGATCCTGGAGTCCTGGGATGGAGTCCCACGTCGGGCTCCCTGCTCAGCAGGGAGTCTGCCTCTCTCTCTGACCCTCCCCCCTCTCATGCTCTCTATCTCATTCTCTCTCTCATATAAATAAATAAAATCTTTAAAAAAAAAAAAAGAAAGTAGAGGCTGGGACTGATACTCCCAAACAAAAGCAGCCAGTCATCTATCAACATCTCAGTATTCTCCTAAATTCATGCCAGTCTTTTTCTTTGCTGTCATAAGTGTTAACAGCCATATGGATTAGTCATCCCACACTCTAGCTTCACGTTGGCTTGATATACACAATGACCTTTATTCCCTAACAACTACCTCCTCCCATAGCCACACCTGGGGATCTTTGCACGTCTATGTGGCTCCACCTCTGATATACTGAATTCTAGTAAATTGCTCACTGACCACAACCTTCTAGCTCTCCCACATCTTACTCCTTCACTTGACCTTTGATCTAGTCAAGCCCCCAGAGACTGCCTCTGTGTTTCCCACTAACTTTCCCCCCTTTCCGTCTTCTCTCCTTTTTTAACTCAGTCTAGACCCTGTGTTGTATCTGTTCAATCACTGTCTCATCAATGATCTCAGCACATTTTCCCCTTTGCCTCCCATCATCCCTCAGTCTTCATCCATCCATCCTCTCAGCCCTTGAATGCAAGTTGCTGAGAAAATCATGCAATAAGATTCTCTAACTTCAGTTTATTCTTCCTCATAGCCCCACAGTCTTTTGGTAAATGCTTTATCATATTTTTCTCCTGTTCCTCACAGAGGCTATTTCAAACTTTTACCACTTTCCTTGATTCCCCTGCCCTACAGATGTCTCTTGAACCTCAGAAGACCTTGACTGCATTTCACAAATGCATTCTGCTGGAGGTGCTCTGCATACTTGGGGCATCAGGGTACTGCAGAGCCCACAGTCCATAAACCTTTTTAGCAGGAACGTCAGTACCTCTTTCTAGAAGACTACATATTCCTGAATTGTCTGAAAGCCCTAGGGAATTTCACAGTCTGCCTTCCACACCCAAGCAGAGATGGCTCTGGAGTTTGATCAGAATCCACTTCTCACTGGCACACGTATTACTGACATGAAGCCCCTCTGCTGCCAGCTCTCCTGATGATCGTGCAGGAGCTGTGT